AAAATTCAAAAGTTTGGTATTTCTAGCTTCTGAGGCCTTTGGAAATAACAAAGGACTTATCTCTCATTTTGTACAAGCAACTGATTAGGCTATTTGTATTATATTTAAAAGCACGGTCAATGCCAAATGATACAAAATTTTGCTATATTAAGATGTTATTACTGCAAGGGCCCAGCGCCATGGCCTAGCGGCATGGGCACCGACTGGTTCTAATCCTAGCGGCCCTGTTTCCTATCCAGCTCCCTGCTTGTGGCCTGGGAAAGCAGTCAAGGACGGCCCAAAGTCTTGGGACCCTGCACCCGCGTGGGAGATCCAGAGGAGATTTCTGGCTCCTGGCTTCTAATCAGCTCAGCTCCGGCCATTACGGCCATGTGGGGAGTGAATCATCGGACGGAAGAGTTTTGTCTCTGTACATCTGACTTTCCAATAAAATAAATAAATCTTTGAAAAAAGAAAATAAGCCAGTTCTAGGTGAATGTCCACAGGTTTATTCATGTGTCCACGTAATTTACTGGATGTCTCTTTGGAATATTCCATATTGCTGGGGAAGCTGAAATCCAGGTCTTCATTTTCACGGGTGAATTTTAGGGTAATGGCCATTTTTTCCTCTCGAGGTTTTGATTCAGCCTGGATTATCTCGGTGACTTTGGATTTGCTAATTTCTAGTAGACAATGCCCGTCATTCTGGCATGATTTTGGAGGTCCCAGTCAGAGGGCAGTGGCCCTCCTGAGCTCCAGAACCTGGTGTGGCAGCCCGGGGAGACCCCTGTGATGGTTAACAGGGCCCCAAGCAGCTGAGCCAGGAAGCCTGGCTGGCAGGATTTGCTCTGACCTTTACTCAAAGGGACCATCTAAGTGGTTTCTGAGCACCCATGTGCGACTCGCGAAGGCTGGATGCCCGTGGATCAGCGCCCACGGGAGGCCTCGTTATGGCCCATCAGATCTCTGGGCTGTGTGTAATGGCCACCTGTCTGGATTGTATGTCATTGTCGTCTGTCTGTCTGCCTACATTGATTCTGCCCTATTCATTCATGCCCAACCTGTTCCGTGTTGGTCCTGGAGTTGGTTTGTCCTGTGGTGCAGTGGGTTAAGATACTGCCTGCCTGTAATACCAGCATCCCACAGGAGCCTGGAGTTTGAGGTCCAGCTGCCTCAGTTGCCATCCAGTCCCCTGGAAAGGCAGCAGAAGACAGGCCAAGTGCTTGGGCCTCTGCCGGCCCTGGGGGAGGCCCTTGGTGGAGGCCCTGGGGGAGGCCCGGATGGAGCTCTCGGCTTACAGGCAGTTGGAGCCATTTGGGGAGGGAACCAGAAGATGGAAGATCTGTGCCACTTCCTCTCTCTCTGTAACTCTGCCTTTCTAATAAATCAATAAATTGTGAATAATCAAAACAATCCTGCTGCTGTAAGCAGGCCTGAGTGAGGCCCCACGTGCCCATCTCCCTTCCTAAGACTGGAATTGCTGGGGCCCATGTCTTAACCTTTTGGGGTCCCTGACAGATGCTTCCTGCCTTGCATCTGATGGTTTACTCTCCCTTGCGCTCACAGACCAGGGCCAAGCCAGGCCCAGCCCGGGTCAGGAGCAGGCAGAGAGAGGAGCAGAGAGGTCTTCCAGAGGGGATGTGTACCCTAGGGACATCCCAGAGCCCAGGCCAGGGCCGGGCCACACAGCTGGGGGAGTGGACTGCGTCCTAAAGCAGGCACCATTTGCCCTTCCCGCCCCTGCGGCCCCAGTTGTTCCTGGATGTTTGCTCTTCCCAACAGGGGCACCCAGCTGCGGAGCTGTTTAACCCTGCTCAGGAACCCGGCAGGGGGCCAGGGCCAGGTGGGGCTCGGGGAGGTGAGAGGCGGATGCTGGAGATGTTTTTGCGATGCCGTCAGCCCCGCCGCCTGTGTTGCCAGGTCAGTTGGAGAGCCTGAGGGAGAGTCCCGGCTGACCCCGTCCGCGGAGATGTTTCACCCTCTCTGTGCTGTGCACAACCCTCCACCCCCTTTCTGTGTGTGTCCTCGGCCTGGGGCCCATTAGCTGCTTCCTGGGGACTTGGGGCACTGGACCCTCGAATGCACCGTGGCCCTTTGATTGCCAGAAGCGCATCTGAAAACCGAATCTCAGTTTTCTCTTCCATAAAATGGGACAATAACCTCACCCTGAAGAACCCTGGGCTGCAGGACCCGTTCTTCCCGCAGCCTCGGGCCGCCGCGGAGGAGAGGAGGGGAGTTTGGGTTGTCCTCCTTGCCTCCGCCCCCCACCCCACCCCCTTTAGGCTGAGTTTCCTCTTGAGCGGGTGGGGGGCTCTGCGCACGCCAGACCGGCTGATGGAAACCAGCTGCGGGAGACGCGGGCTCGGCGCACGCCCAGGCCCCTCCTCGGCGCCGGCAGACCCCGCTCCGGGGTGTGGGGAAGGGGGGACGCGCCCGGGCTCCCCATCCCTTCTTCCGCAGCCCGGCCCCAGGCCCTGGCACGTCCGGTGCGCGCCTAATGCTTTCCAGATGTGGAGTTGCTCCCTTCCCCCACAGGGCGCAGCGGCGCGCGCAGGGCAGGGGGAGGGGAGCCATGGCGTTCCTTACAAAGCGCCCCCCTCAACCCCCACACATTCCCACCCTCACCCCGGCCACCCATCCAGCCGCCACCAAGTCCCATGGTGTCCCTGTCCTGGGCGCCTCCCCCCCGCGCCACCTCCACCCTTCCCGGGGATCCCACCTCAGCCTCGCCCGCAGCAGGCTTGGGGCGCGTGTGTGTCGGGGGGCCAGACGCCCCCCGGACCTTGGGGCCCCCACCTCCAGACCCGCCCCTCGGAGAGCAAGGCACGCCCCCTTTAGAAGCCCCGCCCCTGCCTGCAGTCCCCGAGAGGCTGGCGCCTGGGCTGCTTTGTCTCTGCCCGCCTGGCCTCCCTGGGGGTCCCTGACTCTCCTGTGCCCCCCTGTCTTCCTCTGATCCCCCCCACCACACACACACCGCCGCCCGCTCCTCCCGCAGGCCGCGGGCGCCCCCGTGTGGCCGACTAGGGATGTGGGCGCCCGGGGGCGTGAGGCGAGGGGAGACGGCCCCCCGCAGCCGGCGTGGGTGCGCGGCGCGAGCATGGGTGCTTGGGCCTGGCTCTATGTCCTGGCGCCGGGCGCTGTGAGGAGCCCGTGGGATGGCTGCTGAATGTGAGCAGCGGCTCGGCGAGGACCTGCGTGGCAGCAGTGGCAGAGGCTGCGACACTGGCCGAGTGTGGGAGGGTGACCCACTGCACGGGCCATCACGGGTGGGAGGGAGACCCTCTGGGTGGGAGGCCAGGCCTGCAACCCGGCCATCGTGTGGGTGAGAGATTGTGTGTGGTGCTCTATATTTGTCACTCGTGCACCATCCGTGTCGGGAGCAGGTCTGTCAGAGGAGGCATGAGCAGGTTGTGGTGAGGGGGGCGAATCTGCTGGAAGGGTGTGGTGGTTGGTCCGTGTGGGGTGTGTGTCCCCACGTTGACCGAGCGCCGCCCCCGAGGGTGTTCGCAGGAGTGTGAGGTGTTCGTGTGTCAGAGAGACCTTGTGTGTGTGATTGCTGTTAGGGTGACAGCTGTGTGTGTGTGTGTGCATGTTGGGGAGGGGGTTAAGATGTGTGTTGCACTAGCCATGTCCGAGGCCCCTGATGGGTGGCACCAGATGAGTGCCTGCGTGCCTGTGTGACACGCTTGCCAGAGTTTGGGTCAGCGCCAGGCGGAGCGTGCGAGGATGAGGCTGAGAAACTTAGGTTGAATGCACAAGTGTAGGGGTGATGTTGAGGACCCCTGGAGGGACACTGTCCCTTGACACTGTTGCCTGTACATATATGTGCCAGCTGCCGGTGGCGCGGGTGTGCGACACGGGAGGGAGGGATTGTGTGTGGCACTGGAGGGGGCACTGGAGAAGACCTGTGTTGGGCCCCCTGCAGTGGTGACTGTGAGAGAGGCCGTGGGGGCCACATGCCAGGACAGTATGGTATGTAGCTGTGCAGCGAGTGGCATGGGGCATGGGATACCCTTGGTTGGCTGAGAGAGTCCCCCCCCCCTCCGTGATAGACCCAGGGGAGGGGGCGGGGCGGGCCGGGGGACCCAGCTGCTGCTTCCCAGCTGTCACCTGCCTGCCATCCCTGGCTTGGAGCAGCAACAGGTAGGACGCTCCCATCCTGGCACTGATGGTCCACAGCACTCCAGGACCGCAGACTGCTGGCCTGGGAATGAATGAAAGAACAAGCGACTGAGTGAGGTGTACGCTTGTGTCTGCCTCACCTGTCTCTCCCCTTCCTTGGTCATCTCTAGCCCTTCCATCCCTCCATCTCTTCCTCCCCATCCCTCCGACCCCTGTCCATCCATCCATCTGGGTCTCTCCCTCTTGCCCCATCCCTTCACCCTCCCCCAGTCCCCCCTTGGTCTGTCTGCCTCTCTCTCTTTCCTCTTTTCTTTCCCCACGCCATGCCCACCTCTGTCTCTTGGTCCTCTCTGGCTTGTCTGAGTCCCTCTATCCGTCCATCCTCCCCACCCCCGTGGACCTTCTGCACCGCCCCCTCCCCTGGCTGTTGACAAGCGGAGGTGCCTTTGAGATGGCCAGAGCTGGGGAGGAGGGTACCCCCTGAGGGCCTGGAAAGGGGGGTGCAGCTGCGGCCAGGGCCCTAATGAGTCCCCCTCTGCGCCCCTCCCGCGGCGATCTTAATTCCTGCCTCTCTCAGGAGCCTCGGCTAATTGGCCTGGGGAGAGACCCCCCTCCTGGCTCAGCGCTTCCCCTGGAGGCTGGGGGCGTGGGGGAGGGGAGGGCACCTGGCTGCTGCTCCAACACCTGCGGCCCTCTCTTTCCGCCAGCACCTGCCCCTCACCTCCCATCTCTGCTCCCTCCTCGCTGCTCTTCCCCTTCATCTGTGCATCCCTCCATCTCTCCTCCCGTCATCCCGTGTTGACCGTCCACCTGCGTCCTGCCAGCACCCAGCCTTACCGGGCGAGCCCCAGCCCCATTCCCTCTCTCCCGGCTTTGAACCCCGTCCCCCGCCGCCACAGCCATGTCCAACAACATGGCCAAGATCGCTGAGGCCCGCAAGGCCGTGGAGCAGCTGAAGCTGGAAGTGAACATCGACCGCATGAAGGTGCCGGTCCGGAGAGGGGGGGTCTGGGGTGGGGTTGGGGGGCTTGCCCAGCCGTGTTGGAGGCAGGACTTGGTCGCACCGAGGGATGGGGCGCCAGCTTCCCCCACTGTGGCTCCCACAGGTGTCTCAGGCGGCGGCCGAGCTCCTGGCCTTCTGCGAGACGCATGCCAAGGACGACCCGCTGGTGACCCCGGTCCCTGCCGCCGAGAACCCCTTCCGCGACAAGAGGCTTTTTTGCGTCCTTCTCTGAGCCCTCCCCGCCCGGAGTATGAATCCAATAAACTTGGTGACCGGTGCTGGGGATCTGTGCTTCTGGAGGTCGGAGGGAGGGAACACGGGGAGACCCTTACCACCGCGGGGAAGTAGGGTTCTTTCCGGTTCTTTCTGCGTTGTCTGTGGAGTGTGTGAGGAAGTGCGTACCACTGCCCTCTCCTCAATGTATATAACGGTCCTGCCAATCCCAGGAAGGTGCTATTTTGTCCCCAGATGGTGACAGGCCAACATGGGTAGAGCTGGGCTGAGGGCAGCTCTGTTGGACGGCTCGTGGAGGGGGAGGCGTCCAGCCAGGCCGTGGTGGTGGCTGTCCCAACCGGGATGTGTGGTGCGGTGGCCAAGGCACCCCTTTGGGACGCTTCCCTCAGCTTTCTGCTAACACACACCCTGGAGGCAGCAGCGGTGGCTGGCTGCATTGACTGGGTCCTTGCCACCCCTGCCACCCACACAGGGAGAGTCAGCTTGAGTTCTCCGGCTGCCAGTTTTGGTTCTCGCTGTTTCGGGCATTTGGGGAGCAAGCCGGCAGATGGGAACCCTCTCTGATAAATAAAAGATAAATTGACAATAATAAAAAGCCAGGAGGCTATGGAGAGGAGGGCAGCCAGAGGAGGAGAGAGCAGAGCCACCGAGAGCACTGTGTGTTTCCAGGCACCGTGTGTTGCCTGGGCACCTGCTGATGGCCACCGGCTCTAACTGGGCTGCAGTCCGTGCCTCTCCCTCTGACCTCGATTTGGTTACCAAGTTAAAACATTGGAAGAATCCCACATTGCTTGCTTCTCTGGGAGTTAAAGAGCCCGGTAACCCACAGGCACCCATGGGCTGTGACACAGATAGGCCAGTGTCTCTACACTTGCATGGGAGGCCTGGAAGAAGCTCCTGGCACCTGGCTTCAGAATGGCTCAGCTCTGGCCATTGGAGCCACTTGGGGGGTGAACCAGAGGACAAGATGTTTGTCTCTCCTCTGTGTCCATTTGCCTTGCCAATAAAAATAAATAAGGCTAAAGAGAGAGAGAGAGAGAGAAAGGAAGGGAGGGAGGAAGGAAGGAAGGAAGGAAGGAAGGAAGAAAGAAAGAAAGAAAGAAAGAAAGAAAGAAAGAAAGAAAGAAAGAGAGAGAGAGAAAGAAAGAAAGAAAGAAAGAAAGAAAGAAAGAAAGAAAGATAGATAGATAGATAGATAGATAGATAGATAGATAGATAGATAGATAGATAGGTGAGACATGGGCAGTCATTTGGCCCCGGGATCCACAGGCCCGTGAAGACCGTTGCATCCCATGTCAGTGGATCTGTCTGCAGGTCCTGGCTCCAGCTCCTGGCTCTGGCCGCCTGCCAGTGCAGACCCGGGGCTGCAGGGGGGCAGTTCCCTGCTGGCCGTGTGGGTGGAGCCTGCAGTCAGTTCCTGGTTCCTGACTCAGCCTTGTCCCAGGCCCAGCCAGGGCAGAGCTTGGGATGTGGATCAGCGGACAGGATTTTCTCTCTGTGCTTCTCAAGCAGGTGCTTGGGTTGTGACTTAGGACACTGGAGCGCCACTTGTGGTGCAGGCAGTCCCATGTTGGAGCCCTTGAGTCCCGGCTGCTCCGCGTCCTTCCAGCTCCCTGGAAAACAGCAGAGGATGGCGCAACCTGGGACACCTGGAAGAAGCCCCTGGCTTTGCTCCGTCCCGGCTATGGCCATTTGCAGACTGAGCCACTGGATGAAAAATCTCTTTCCCTCTCTCTATGTCTCTGTAACTTTGTCTTTCAAATACATAAAACAAAGCACAACAAAAACAATGTAAAGCTACAGGACATTTAAAAAAAACAAATATATGGGCCCGGCACGATGGCCTAGCGGCTAATGTCCATGCCTTGGACGCGCCAAGATCCCATATGTCACCGGTTCTAATCCCAGCAGCTCCACCTCCCATCCAGCTCCCTGCCTATGGCCTGGGAAAGCAGTCGAGGACGGCCCAAAGCCTTGGGACCCTGCACCCATGTGGGATACCCAGAAGAAGCTCCTGGCTTCTGGCTTCGGATCAACTCAGCTCCGGCCTGTTGCAGTCACTTGGGGAGTGAACCTCTGGAAGAAAGATCTTTCCCTCTGTCTCCTCTTCTCTCCATAAATCTACTCTGCCTTTCCAATAATAATAAATAAATCTCTTTTTTTTAAGATTTATTTATTTTTCATTACAAAGTCAGATATACAGAGAAGAGGAGAGACAGAGAGGAAGGTCTTCCGTCCGGTGATTCACTCCCCAAGTGAGCACAACGGCTGGTGCTGTGCTGATCCGAAGCCGGGAACCAGGAACCTCCTCCGGGTCTTCCACATGTGTGCAGGGTCCCAAGGCTTTGGGCCGTCCTCGACTGCTTTCCCAGGCCATAGGCAGGGAGCTGGATGGGAAGTGGAGCGGCCAGGATTAGAACCGGCGCCCATATGGAATCCCGGGCGCGTTCAAGGCAAGGACTTTAGCCGCTAGGCCACGCCGCCGGGCCCAATAAATAAATCTTAATATAAATAAACTTCCCCTGTCATCATTGCTCATAGGGACTTGGAGGGAGAGTTCGGCTTTGGCTGGTTGGTTTCCTGGCTGTCCTGGGGCCACTGAGTTTGCAGCACTTCCCCTTCTTGGGGTCTCACTGGCAGCTCAGGCCGGAGGGAAGCTGGACCTCACGCCTGGCTGCAGGTACTCTCTGGGCTCAGCTCCTCACGGGCCATGCTTGGTCCGGCCATAGCTCCGGTATGCACGTCCCCTGGGCCTCCTACCCTGGCATATAGAGAGGCAGAAGCCACTGTAATTCCATCCCCTCTTTGCTTCCCCTGTCCCCCTGGCAGGCTCCAGCCTGGTTGCATCATGTCTGCAGGAGCCCCGTGGGGAATTGTAGGGACTGGGAAGAGCTGGCAGGTGGGGGAGGGATGCTGGAAGCAGGGAGCCAGGAGCAGTCCAGCATCTGCAGGCCCAGAGTCCTTGCAGCTTCAAACCGAGAATGCACGGGCATCCAGGATCCCAGGAGTAGTTCTCTGGGGATTGGAATTCCTAGAATTTCCCAAGACCCCAGTGACCTGTGGGCAATAGGACGTAGCAGCTCAGTTGCTGTGGGGTGCCAGGATTCCAGCGGAGGTGTTTGGGAATGCCACCCACCCCTTGCTGATCTGGGGGCGTCATACTGTGGAGAAGGGGTGGAGGTCTGCCTGGAGGAGGAGGAAGGGGAATGAATGAGGAAGGAGGAGCCAGAAGGGCCAGGGCAGAGACAAAAGACCCAGTGGTATCACAGAGGAGCCTTATAGCTGGCAGTGTCACCAGTTGCTGCTACCCCCAGCTGCCAGGTCAGGCCCAGGCCCAGGCCGGGGTCAATCAGGGCCAGGTGGCAAGGCAGGGAGGAAAGTGCTGGCCCCTGGCAACCCCGCCTCCTGGGACCCCAGGCTCCAAAGGGCCCAGCGCCTCCCTATCTGGGCCTTTTCTGGTGTGCTAAAGGCTGACAGAGGGGTGGGAGAACTCCCAGCCTGGCACTTCCTGAGGACCTCTTTGTGGCATTGAATTGTCAAAACAGCCTCACAGGTGACTGTGCCCACTGGACAGACACAGGGATGGGGATGGGGAGGGCCCAGTGAGGTGGACTAGTGGCTGAAATCCTCGCCTTGCATGTGCTGGGATCCCATATGGAAGCTGGTTCATGTCCTGGCTCCCCCACTTCCCATCCAGCTCCCTGCTTGTGATTGGAAAAGCAGTCGAGGACGGCCCAAAGCCTTGGGACCCTGCACCCATGTGGGAGACCCAGAAAAAGCTCCTGGCTTCGGATCGGCGCAGCTGCAGCTATTGTGGCCACTTGGGGAGTGAATCATAGGATGGAAGATCTTCCTCTATCTCTCCTGCTCTCTGTATACCTAACTTTCCAATAAAAAAAGTAAACAAACAAACAAGGGCCCAGCATGGTGGCCTAGCAGCTAAAGTCCTCACCTTACACACGCCAGAATCCCATATGGGCGCCAGTTCTAATTCTCTGCTTCTCATCCAGCTCCCTGATTGTGGTTGGAAAAGCAGTCGAGGACGGCCCAAAGCCTTGGGACCCTACACCCATGTGGGAGGCCTGGAAGAGGCTCCAGGCTCCTAGCTTCAGATTGGCTTAGTTCTGGCCATTGTGGCTGCTTGCAGAGTGAATCACTGGATGGAAGATCTTCCTTTGTCTCTTTTACTCTCAGTATATCTGACTTTTCAATAAAAATTTAAAAATTAAGAAAAACGAGGTCACTGGCCTGTGGGGGCTAGAGGAGAGATACTCAGAGGACAGTGTCTGGAGGCCTGGGGGATGGGGCTAAGTGGCTCCCCACATCTCCCACCCTGGGAGATGTTAGCATGTGGTAGGCGAAGGCTCCGTTGGGGCAGAAGGCTGTGGGCAAATGCACAGTAGCAGTGAGGGGTTTCGAGGGACATGTGGGCGAGAGTGGTTGGCAGCGTGGGTACAGGGCGGAAACCAGGCCATCAGGTAGGGGTCGGGCCCAGGTCAACGGGCAACAGGCGGCCGAGGTCTGAGGTCTGTGGCCACCCACAGCAAATGTGGGTCAGTGGCCAGAGGTGCTGGCAGGTGGCAGACACGCAAAGCCTGTTGCAACTCCACTTCCTGGCCTGTTTGCACTGCCTGCCTGGGGACACTCACCCAGGCATGTGGGGACACTCAGCCAAGGGCCATCTACCTGCTTCATGCTTTCTGTTGACCAGGGCCTCCCGCTGCCCCGGCCCAGTCTGCTGCACACATGGCCAGCCGTTGGGAGACAGGACGAGGCTGATTCCAACTTGTGGGTGAATAATCACCTTGTGTCTGATCTGAGGGCTTCCTGAGGAGCCTGTGGGGTGAATCTTATCTTCCAGATGCCTCAGATAAGGTCAAGGCCGCCCTGCTGAAGAAGAGCGCCCGGGGGTGGCCCGGCCAGTGAGTGCTGAGGGCACAGACCTGCCTTGCCTGGTCCCAGGCACACATCCTGGCAAATGTAGCCAGAAAGAGGGCTCACTGAGGCTGCCGTGGCACAGCTCATTCAGCCACGGGCTGCAATGCCAGAATTTCCCAGATAGGATACCAGTTCCAGTCCTGGCTGTTGCATTTCCCATCCAGCTCCCTGCTAGTGCACCTGGGAGAGCAGCAGAGGATGGCCCACGTGTGTGGGTCCCTGCACCTGCACGGGAAACTTGGAAGAAGCTCCTGGTTCGTAGTTTTGGACCGACCCAGATCCAGCCTTTGTGGCCGTCTGGGGAATGAACAGGCGGATGGATGCTCTCTCTGCGTTTTTCTGTAATTCTGCTTTTTAAACAGATAATCTTTTTTGATGGAGTGTTTACTATAAGTTGCACTATTGTGTATCTGTGATTAGCAACACACCCATGAGGACACATGTATGACTCCAGAAGCACACAGGAGCTGCCACTCCTCACACACACACACACACACACACACACACACACACACACACACACACACACAGACACACAGAGTCATGCCCAGATGCCATGCACCAGCAGCAACTTATGGAGGAGAGTTCTGAAAGGTCCTGGAAAGGGCCCAGCGCAGTAGTCTAGTGGCTACAGTCCTTGCTTTGCATGCACTGGGATCCCATATGGGCATCAGTTTGTATCCCAGCTGCTCCCTGCTTGTGGCCTGGGAAAGCAGTCAGGGACGGCCCAAAGCCTTGGGACCCTGCACCCACATGGGAGACCTGGAGGTGCTCCTAGTTCCTTGCTTCAGATCAGCTCAGCTCCAGCTGTTGCAGCCACCTGGGGAGTGAACTAGCAGATGGAAGATCTTTGTCTCTCCTTCTCTCTGTAAATTTGCCTTCCCAATAAAAATAAATGAGTAATAATAATTAAAAAAAAAAGGTCCTGGAAGATGGAAAGAAAGCTTGTGTGTGTATGTGGGGGGGGGGGCGACAGGGGGGGTGCAAAGAAAAAAATCACTCCCCAGGTGGCCACAATGGCTGGAGCTGAGTCAGTCACAAGCCAGGAGCTTTTTTTTTTGTGTCTCCCACGTGGGTGGAGTCCCAGGGCTTTGGGCCGTCCTCAACTGCATTCCCAGGCCACAAGCAGGGAGCTGGATGGGAAGTGGAGCAGCCAGGACATGAACCCATGGTCATATGGGATCCTGCCGCATGCAAGGCAAGGACTTTAGCCACTCAGCGTGCAGGGTCCCATGGATAGTTTTTTAATCGTGTGCAGTATCCACTAACAGACATTCACACACACGCACACTCACACACACACACACACACACACACACACACACACACACACACACACTCGCACACCATGCTGAGGGTAATGCTAGTCCAGGTGTGCTGGTGCACCAGGTGAATCTGTCCCTCCCCGGAGGGCCTAGTTCAAGTCCATCCCACTAGCTGCTAAGGCACCTGGGGAGGCAGGCAGCAGCTGGTGGTTCAAGTCCTTGGGTCCCTGCCACCTGTGTGGAAGACCTGGCCCAGATCTGGTTGCTGTGGACACTTGGGGAGTGAACCAGGGATGGGAGATCTCTCTGTCCTTTGGCCTTGGAAATGCAGGTAGGTCCCAATGATTCCACAGACTCCCAACCCAAGTTCATGGTCCTGGCACTCAACTTCCTCCTGGGTTCCCATCGCCCACTTCCTGCCAGGGGGTGCTGTGCGACCTCACCCCGACTCAGTCCCCACTCTCAGGGGTCTCTGAGTGCGTGTCCCCTCTCTTCCTCCAGAAAGCTGCAGTGCGTGGAGGGTGGAGAGCCGCTGACTCACCCTCTTTGGGGTTGTTCGTCTCGTGGCTTCCCAGCTCCCGGAAGCCACCCCTCCTTGATCCTCTATAGCGAGCAGTCGGGGCGGCTGGTCACCCACACCCACCCTACCCCAGGCACCTAGTGAGCACAGAGGCCTCCCTTGTGGCTTTTGCTGTGGACTTGGCTGCTGGGGCCACAGCTGGACACGAGGCTGGGCGTCCCCAGGAGGTAAGCAGAGCCATGTCCCATGCTAGGACACTCTGTTCCCGTCACTAGCTGAGTCACTGTTCCCTGCCGCCCACTTGCTCCTGATAATGGGAGCACAGAACACCTGCTAACTGCCAGGGCACATGGGGGCCAGGCGGGGAGTGGGGCCTGGAGGGAGAAGAGGGGCAGGTCCTGGTCTGGGGTTCCCTTGCTCTCTGGGTTAGAGGAACCCCAATGGGGACAGGAAGCTGACAGACAGACAGAGAGAGGATCCGGGAACCAGTGCCTTTGCTACCCACCCCTGCTCTCCCTTGCCACCAAGGCCAGCCAGAAGCATGCCAGGCGCCGTCCTTCATTAGCGCAAGCTGGCTTCCTGAACTCGCGCTGCTCTTCCTGGGGCCTGGTGAGCATGGGGGGCCGTGGAGGTGGGGGCCTGCACGCAAGGCGTTACCCTCCCACCCTGGGCAGAGCTGTGCCGCCTCTGGGAGAGTCCCAGCTGGGGCACACATCCACCCGGCGGAAGCCGGAGTGCTAGCTGGGCATGGGCGATAGGGAGCCTGGGTGGGGCAGCAGCTGCTGGCGGTCAGGTCCCTGGGGCAAGAGCATCCCCCTGCCCAGGCTCTTGCCAGCAGGCTGCCAGCCAGGCCATGGCTTGGAATGCTGGCACTGCTGAGCAGACAGGCGTACCAGCTTCCTGGCCTTACCCAGGGCTGTGACATAGTGAGAAAGCGACAGAATCAGACAGGATTCTGTTCTGAGTTTGAGATCTCAAGTTTGTCATCTTTATGTGCAAGCTAGCCCCTGGATAAGCAAGGAGGAGGGGGTCCCCCAAGAGGGTCTCTGGTCCATGTGACTGCCTTGGGACCCTTGAGCTCAGCAGGAATAGATGGGGGAGGAGGCCGCTAGGATTTGTTGAAGGAGGGTGGGAGAGCTGCATGTGACCCTGATGCTAGAGCCCTGGATGGACAGCTATGGTCACCTCTTGGAGGTCAAGGTCATTTACTGGAGCTGGGCCTGGGAGTGCTGGGGAGAGGAGCAGGAGGTGGCAGGGCATTCCTCTTTGAAGCTGACCAGCCCCTCTGGCAACTGCCAGCCCCATTCTCCTCCTCCTGGCTTGCTTCTACGGGAGGGGAGAGCGTGGGGCGAGCTCCAGAGACCGGCATCTCTCCCCCTGCCCCGGCTGACTCCTCTCAGTCTGCTGGAAGGATGAAGTGGCCCGGGATTCTCAGTGGTGTTGTCTGGAAAAGACTACATCAGGAGGAATTTCCTGGTCATTTCTCAATCCCTGGTAATGTCCTAACCCTGGGGCTTGGAGCCCAGAATAGATCCTAGGAAAGGCCCCGGGCTTCACCAAACCCTCCAGCCTGGCCGGCTCTACCTCTCCACCCGTGAGGGCGACTCAGAGATTCCCGACCCAGGACCCAGAGAGTGAGACAGCCCTGTGGGGAGGAACGAGGGGAGGGACCCCTGACCGGGATGGCATGGCGGCAGGTGGCTCGCTCAGGGAATGGAGAGAAAGTGAGAAAGCAAGGCTTGACTGAGGGTGGGAGCGGGGGCGGAAGCTGGAGCTGGATGAACCAAGCTGGGACTGGGGGCCGGGGCGCATGCCAGGGAGCCGGCAAGGAGCCCAGGGGGCCCCTGGAGAACCAGGGAGGGAGGGCGGGGCAGAGAGGAAATGAAAAAGCTGGGGCCAGCAGGCAAGATGAGGAGGGAGGAGGGAGGAGAGAGAGGCTGATACAGACAGTGGCGTGAGCCACCAGGACACACGCAAGACTGGCCAGGGAGCCGGAGGAGGGGGGAAGAAGAAACAGCAGCTGGGCAGGTGCGGTGAGCAGGACCAGGGAAGGTGGGGGCCGCCGGAGGGAGGGGACACAGGAAGACTTTGCAGGAGAAAGACTGAGGGAAAGCGAGGGCTGGGCCGAGCCCGGAGGATAGCAGCCAGCTGTGGGCGACTGGGTGGACTGCAGGGCCAGCCTGGCACCCCTGAGCCCCCAGCCCCAGCCCCAGGGGGCCCTCGAGCCCAGGCTGGCTGGCTGCTCTCCCATCACTGGACCAGGAGGATGGCGGACTCCTGCCGGAACCTTACTTACGTGCGGGGCTCGGTGGGGCCAGCCACCAGCACATTCATGTTTGTGGCGGGCGTGGTGGGCAACGGGCTAGCGCTGGGCATCCTGAGTGCCCGACGGCACTCCCGGCCCTCGGCCTTCGCCGTGCTGGTTACGGGGCTGGCTGTGACCGACTTGCTGGGCACCAGCTTCCTCAGCCCTGCCGTGTTCGTGGCCTACGCCCGCAACAGCTCGCTGGTGGGCCTGGCCCGTGGCAGCCCCGCGTTCTGCAATGCCTTCGCCTTTGCCATGACCTTCTTCGGCCTGGCCTCCACGCTCATCCTCTTCGCCATGGCCGTGGAGCGTTGCCTGGCACTCAGCCACCCCTACCTCTATGCCCAGCTGGATGGACCACGCTGTGCCCGCCTGGCATTGCCAGCCATCTATGCCTTCTGCACCCTCTTCTGCTCGCTGCCCCTGCTGGGCTTGGGTCAGCACCAGCAGTACTGCCCTGGCAGCTGGTGTTTCATCCGCCTGCGCTCCGCCGAACCTGGAGGCTGTGCCTTCTCACTCGCCTACGCCAGCCTCGTGGCCCTGCTGGTAGCCGCCATCGTCTTCTGCAATGGCTCCGTCACCCTCAGCCTCTGTCGCATGTACCGCCAGCAGAGACGCCACCAGGGCTCACTGGTCCCTGGACCCCGGGCACGCGAGGATGAGGTGGACCACCTGATTCTGCTGGCCGCCATGACAGCCATCATGGCCGTGTGCTCTCTGCCTCTCACAGTGAGTCGCTGCTCCTGGCAGGTGGGGGGAGTGGGGGTGGGTGGTGGCCTGCAGCTCTGTCCTTAGTTGAGTGTCCCTGTTACACAGACAGGGCAGCACCCCCTTTGCATCTTTGCACCCCCTCATTGCTCCTGTCTTCCTTGGAACAAGCAGTCTCTTGCCCACTACCTGGGCCCTGTTTGCACCCCTCGTGGTCCCCTACCTAAATCCTCAGTCCCTCAGATCCAGAGCTCCTCCATTCTACCCTGCCCCTGCCACTCCCCACGCTGCGTGGAACCCCGGGATCTGCCATTCACAGGCACTTGCAGCTTACAAACCTTTTCTCAGCTGACCACACTCCCCTTGCGTGCGTGGAGTGAGTGCTCAGCAGGAAATGGCCCAAGGTCACAATTCTCCCGGGAGATGGACAATCAGCTGGGGCCTCCGGCTCCAGGGCTGGAGTTCCCACTGCGCACCCCGCACCCCACGTGCCTCGCCCCTACTGTCCTAGCCAGAGCCCATGCTGGTTCTGCTCTCTCAATATCTGCCTCTTCCTCCCCCGCACCCTGCACTGGCTTCAGAGTACAGACCCTGGGGCTCCCACACAGTGCACCTTTGCCACCCATCTCCCACCTGGCCTCAGCTCCTGCCTGTTCAGTGCCATGGGCCTTTCCTTTGAAACCTGCCTGGGGGTTGCCATGGCCCTGGGAACTGGATGCGTGGTCAGAGGCATGTAGGGCAGGGTAGGGTTGGCAGCATGGGCAGGGAGGAAACTCCAGATCAGAGATTTGGAAGCCCAGGGTCTTCCCAGCCGGTCGAAGGGGAGTGATGGGAGATCTTTTCTGTCGGGCCCCCATCTACCTCCTCTTGGGCCTCCGTGGGCAGCTTCCTGGGAGCCCTGCGTGCCAGGCCTGAAGCGATGCTGTTTTCATCTTATCTGATTTCCTTCCCCCTTCTGCTGCGTCCCCGCCCTGGTCCCCACTGGTGAGAGGGGAGGAGGAGGGGACGCAGCAGAGTGGGGCGGGGGGCTGCTTGTTGATTCTTCTCCCTGTCGTCCCTCTTTCCCTCACCCTCAGATCCGCGGCTTCACCCAGGCTGTGGCCCCCGACAGCAGCGAGATGGGAGACCTCCTCGCCTTCCGCTTCAACGCCTTCAACCCCATCCTGGACCCTTGGGTCTTCATCCTCTTCCGCAAGGCTGTCTTCCAGCGCCTCAGGCTCTGGGTGTGCTACCTGTGGCCCTGGCCTGCCCAGGATGCCCCTCGGATACCCCTGTCCCCACCGGCACCGCTGCCGCCCCTGGCCTCGGGGAGGAGGGTTCCCACAGCTCCCCAGGGAAAGGAGAGGAACTGGGTGCCCCTGTCCGCCTGGGGTGAGGGGCGGGCAGCAGCAGTGCCCCAGGCGGGTGGCGGCCCCGTGGGAACACCGGTTAAGGCTGCAGAGGCCACTGCCCCTGCCGCCTGCTCCCTGTGCTGACAGCTCAGCAGGGCTGGGGTCCCTGGCTACCTTGTTGCCTTCTGGGCAAGGAAGTGGGGGTCACAGCTGTTGGGTGCAGATGTCCGACCTCAGCCCGCCATTCCTGGCAGGGCACTCAGCTGCTATTTCTGCCAGGGTGGGTAGGCACTCACTACAGGCTCTGGGGGTGGGGGAGGGGCGGGCCAAGGGGAGTGAGGGATCCAGGAGAAGGTTTACCCTGGAGCACAAACTGGCTCTCTCAAAATATCCAGCGCCTGGGCGGCCTGCTCAGGCCCTTGGTCCTCTTCCATTTCACTGTCTAAATATTTAGAGGGCAGCTGGGTTCCCAGCTTCTGTGCATTCGGGTCTGCAGGGGGTGTGTGCGGGGGGGGGGGGGCGGGGGCTAGGGTTCCAGCTCCTCTCCTTGTCCATTAAAGGGGCCCTGTCCACTGTGCCCCCCCCACCTGAATCTCCCGAGACTGCCCTGCGTTCTGCCAAGTGGCCCAGGAGCCAGGGGGCATTCTGGGAGAAGTTCCAGACTCTCTCACGCACTCCTCCCCTGCCCACCGCAGGGCTCTGCTGCTGGGGAGTGGTGGGCCCTGAGATGCTGTGTGTCTGTGTGTCTGTGTGTGTGTGTGTGTGTGTGTGTGTGTGTGTGTGTCTGTGTTGGGGGTGGCGCGCGTGAACCTCACGGACCACCCAAGATGGCAGATCCAAGTTCTGGATCTGTCCCCTCGGTGGAGGAGGGGTGCCTGACTGCACCCCCTTAATGTCACTCATGCATTCATTGAAGGACCAGCTTCTCCCCCCTCCCCCCTGCCACCTTCTCCTGGGATCCTCCTTACCCTGGTGGGGGGGAAGGGTGGCAGGGGGGGATGCCTGAGATTGAGCTGACCCCAAGTGAGTGACAGGAAGTGAGCTGGCCTGGGGCTGGGGGAGGGGAATGGGAAAGCAGCCACACTTCCCTTTTTCCCACCCAGCCCCCCATCTGGGGAGGGGCACCTGCCCCCCCATCCCCGGGTGAGGAGAGAGCAGGGAGAGGACGCAGCAGCGGCCTGGGGGGTACCCTCCGGTCTCCTCTCTCCTCAGGGAGCCTTCAGGTAGGTCCTGCCCCAGGGCTTGGTGTACAGCAAAGCTCCTGGGGGCCAGTTACTGTTCCTGCTGTTGTTGTTGTCACTGCTGTACAGGTCCTGTGTTCAGATCACAGAGAAGCACAAGGGGTGTGTGTGAGCTAAAAGCAGTGTGTACAGGAATGGACTCTGCTTGGGGTCATGAGAATGTTCTGGAACAGGACTGGGGCGCATGGTGCTGTGACCTGCCCTGACTGGCTCTGTGACTGTACAATGGTGATGCTTCTCACCTGGGATCTTGCCACAATAAAATAGTGTGACTCTCAAACAAAAGTGAGCGTGCTCAGAAACGCTGCCTGTGGCTTGACGTCAACAGGGTGGTGAAGGAGGTGGGAGGCTGGCAGGGAGGGCAGGGGCTCCCCAATGGGAGGCAAGGCCCTGGGTGACACTGGGCTCCTCCCCGTGGCTCACCCCTGGCTGTCTACACTCCGACCTCTGGCCAGACCACTTTGGGGTGGGGGAGGTGGGCACCTGGCTTCTTTCCTCTGGGGTTTTCATGTCTTTGGGCCCCCAGCCGTCTGCCCAGCACCATCCAAGGTCAATGTCTAGCTGTCCCACGGCCTAGGGCTGAGTGAGCAGACTCCCCCCACCCGAGTTCCCGGTTCATGTTATTCTCAAAGTGGGTAGGTCTGGGGACCTATGGGAGACATCAGGGAGGACTTCCTGGGGAGCGGATGGTGGATCTCCTGGTCTGAGCCTTCTTGGGTCTAGGGAGGTAATGTCACAGACACCACCGGGGCCTGCCCTCACTCACCCCTCAGTGGTTAACAATTAAGTGATTACATCAGTGTGGGATACAAGCAGTAGGTGACAGCACAATTAGTTGCGGGGATGTGCTGGCAGAGGGCAAGACCGTGCCACCGATCCTGGCCCCACCCAGGCTGGTACCTAGAACCATGGCCCCACCTGCTGGTCACACTAGGAATGACAGAGAGGCAATCTCCGGCTTCCCAGGGGGTGGTGGTGATGTGTGTGTGTGTGTGTGTGTGTGTAGGGTGGTGGTGGTGGTGGTGGTGGTGGTGGTGGTGGTGGTGGGTGTGTGTGTGTGTGTGTGTGTGTGTGTGTGTGTGTGTGTGTGTGTGTGTGTGTACAGGTCTGGGATCCTGGCTGGGCTTGTCACATCAGGACAGGCCCAATTGAACCATAGCAGCAATTCCCACAACAGCCTTTCCCTGACGGGGCTGTGGGAATTGCCCCTCCACTCCTGCCCCACGGCTGTTGGAAGCCAAGTGCACTTCATGTCTTTGATTAATCAAGAATGGAGAGGGAACTCATGATTATTTAATAAGGTAGCCAGGCCGGGAGTTAGCAGTCTTCCCTAACACAGGGCCCCGGGGGACGATACGTCAGGGAAGGGCAGGTGTGCGTCAGTCAGGGCGGGCACTAGGGATGCCGAGCCCAGCCACTTCCCAGAAGCAGGTGCAAGGGGCAAGGTGCACCAGGTGTGACCTGTGGCCCTGGGCCCCCGGGCGGGACTGGGGTACAAGACAGTGTCCATGCAGGGCTGTGTGCACCTGACCCCAGGGCTGGGTGAGAACCCAGACCCCTCCTTGTCGCAATCCTGGCCTCGGCCAGCCTCCCCACTAGTTCTCTGGCCTGCTGGCAGTGGGACTTTGTCTCGCCACCTTGCAGCACAGCCAGCCAGGTGCCCTGCCACATCCGTGTGCCAGCAGGAGGTATGGGGAGCAACCTCCACTCAGCCTCTCTAAGCAGCAGAGTCACAAAGGCTAGAGCTCCTCCAGGTTTCCTGCATTGATGCAGGGATCCAAAGCCTTGGGTCATCCTCAGCCTGGATCGTCAGAATTGGAGCAGTTGGGACCTGGTGCTGCAGATGGAGGATTAACTTGCTATGGCGCTGCACTGTCACCATGCATGAGCCCCAAACGCACCTTTTCTCATTCCCTCCTCCATCCTGCCCCACTTGCGAGTGGCCTGGGAGGAACAGGTGAGCCGAGGCCTTTCCTCCTCCGCCGCAGCCACCAGGAGCGCAGTGAGCCACCTGCACTGTGCCACCACGCTGGGGCTCTCCCCCGACAAGGCCCGTCTTCTCCCCCATCCAGGCTGAGGTGGACGGCTTCGGCAAATGGCACTCCTGCCAGGGACCTGGGAGTGGGGTGGAGGCTCTAAGCATCAATAAGAATCCTGTGGCTCCTGCCTCAGTGCCCCCGTCCCCAGGTTCTGCCAAGGTCCTTCCCACACATAGCCAAGTGAGGTACCCCCACCAGGCTCATCCCAGTCCCTGCACAGGCCCCCTTCCCAGCTCTCAGCTAACTCACCCCCCACCCCCGACACAGGGTGGGTACTGGCGGTCTCTTGCTGGCGGGTGGGGTGTGTCAGCCCTAGAAGTCAGGTGAGGACCCTGCCTAAGCCATCTTGGGATTGGCCAGTGCTGCTGAGCCGGGGGAGCAACAGACACTATAGAACAAGTCAGGTAGTCACTGTATTTTATTGGAAAACATTGATATATATTTTTCTTCACAGCTTGAACTGAACACGATATTGCCCGGTTTAAAAAACAAAAACAAAAACAAAACATTCCGCAAAAGTCCACAGCCTCCCGCCTGCCTGCCCTCCCCTCCATGGCTGGTGGGGGTCTCTCTGTCCCTCCCTCCCTTCCTCCTGCCGAGGCTGGGGGCCAGAGGGCGGGTGAGAAGTCTCCAAGCTGGGCAGGTGCCAGGAAAAGCGCCTCCATCCACCTGGGCTGTGTGTGTCGTGTGTGGGCGGGTGTGTGAATGGGGAGGAGAGGCGAGCCAGATGAAAGGGACAGACGGGGGCGGGGGAGGCACCGGGACCATGGCACTGCCCACACCGACTTCCCTGTCCCAGAGGCGCAAGGCAGAAGCAAGGGCACGGAGCATGCTCTCCACTGGGTGGGGGCAGGCAGGGGCGAGGGCAGAGGCGGCCGAGACAGCACAGACATGGGGAAGAGGTGCCATGCCGCCCCCAGGAGCGGAGGGGCGGGCAGACTGGGAAGCAGGGGCTGCGCCGAGGCGGTTTTATTGCAGGTCTGTCCTCTGGCGAGCGGGCTGCGGCTCATCTCCCTTCTCCCCACTCTTCAACTAGCTCGCCAGGGATGTGGGCAAAAATGGAAGCTTTTAAGTGGCAGAAAGGGGCCTGGGGGGGAAGGGGAGGGGTGGGCGGAAAACACCAGCACATCACAAACCCTGCATCCCACACCCGCTCCTGGGGCTAGGCCCTGGGGGTGTTAGCACCAGGTATGCACGGAACAGCTGACAGCGCTACAGGAACGCGGGCCAGGCCACACGCAGGGACCAAAGGCATGGCGCCCCGTGCGGCCAGCCCGACTCAGAAAGCCAATCGGATGGTGCCATCCACTCTGGCTGTCTCCCGTGAGCCAGCCCCCTGGAGTGGTCAAACAATGCCCCATGCAGCCAAGGCCACAGCCCCCCTGGCCCACCCTACCCCGCCCCCCTCGGCTGCTGGGACCTACACACCAGGTCACAGGCCGCCTGCATGCAACGGCCATGGGCATGCGCCTCCGCCTGGGCCCAGGACAGGGCTGGCAGCTGCCCCAGCACCCCAAAATAAGATGACAAACAGAAAGACACAGAGGGACACACACAGAGGCGAGCCACCCGGGCTGGGGCAGGAGCTGGATACATCAGGATGTAAGGGGGCGGGGAGGGGGGGAGGAGGAGGAGGAAGAGGGACAAAGAGCAGTCATGCAGCTTGGGACAAATCTTTTGTTGCTTTATCAGATTCTCAGTCAGTCAATCGGTGTTTGCTAGAACTGGGGAATGCAGGGGAGTGGTGAAGAGAGCGCGCGCAAGAAGAGAGATCAAGAGAACGGGCATCACCAGCTGCCCGGGCCTTCACTTCGCGGTCATCATCTGTACAAACTCTGTGGGGGGAGAGCAAGGCGGCAGCCGTCAGGGCAGGGTGGGGCCCGGGTACCGGCAGCCCGGCGCAGCCCCGCCCAGCGGCCTCACCTTCGTAGTTGACCTGGCCGTCCCCGTCGATGTCGGCCTCCCGGATCATCTCGTCCACCTCCTCGTCCGTCAGCTTCTCGCCCAGGTTCGTCATCACGTGGCGCAGCTCGGCGGCGCTGATGTAGCCGTTCCCGTCCTGGCAGTGGGGACAGGGTGTTCATGGTGGGGTGAGGCCTGCCACCCCACCACCCTGGCAGGAAGCAGCGCCAACCAGGAGGGAATCATGGCGGCAGCGCCGGCGGGGCAGGCTCCCCGAGCCTCGCCCACCTTGTCAAACACGCGGAATGCCTCCCGGATCTCCTCCTCGCTGTCCGTGTCCTTCATCTTCCTGGCCATCATGGTCAGGAACTCTGGGAAGTCAATGGTCCCATTTCCTGGAGGGGTAAAGGGAGGTGGGGAATGTTCCTGACCTGGGCAGGGAGACACAGCCCCGGCCCAGGGTGGCTGCCCGGTGCCTGCTGGCCCCGAGCTTACCGTCGGCGTCCACCTCATTGATCATGTCCTGGAGCTCAGCCTCGGTAGGGTTCTGCCCCAGGGATCTCATCACAGTCCCCAGCTCCTTGGTGGTGATGGTGCCGTCTCCATCCTTATCGAAGAGGGAAAACGCCTCCTTGAACTCTGGAGAGGGGAGACACAGGGGACAAGTGAGGGACAGGGAGGCTCCCGGGACAGATCTGGCCTCCACGCACAGGCCACCTCCCTGGTGGAAGGTCTAGGAACTGGCCAGCTGTCTAGGACAGCCCAGCCTTCAGCACATCCGCTTACCGCACGGGCCACGGGCTGCGGGCCACGGGCTGCGGGCCACGGGCCACTGCCAGCTCGACCTCTTCGGCCCGTGGGTCAGGGAAGCTCTCTGTCCGAGGGACACTAGTCAAGGTCACAGTGACAGGAGGGGGTGGGGAGCGGAAGTGAGGAGGGACAAAGGCTACAGCACGTGCATGTCTCTGCTGTCCTAGGAGGACATGTGGGCACTGAAGCCCTGACTGGCACCGCCGCCAGCCCAGTTCCCCGCTGTGCGGTGAGGCGTGGGGTGATCAGTGGCAGAGCATGGCTGACGGACAGTGCGTGGGGCGAGTGGAGGGGGTTGGCTGCCAAGCCAGGAGTATGACGAGTGGGAAGGCCACAGCTGGGGATGCATCAGGAGTGAGAGGAGCCCGTGGCTCCTGCCCTCCTATTGGGCCTGCTTGGCACCTGGCATTCCCCTGCCCCCAAGCCCTTAGAGAACAGATGCCTGGCAGCACAGTCCCAGAGGGCAGGGACGCTGGGGACAGGGCTGGGCTGTGGTGAGGGAGGGGTGACCTCCATCATCTGCTGGCCCTGGAGACCCAGGATGCTGGCACCTCCCTGTGCTGAAGGCGGGAGGACAAGGCCGGGTCCTGGGGCTGCTCAGAGCCAGAGCCAAAAGCTACATAGGCGTGACTGTGTGTGTTGGGGGGAAGGCATGAGGAGAGAAAGGGGGCAAGGCCACTCCCGCCTCCCCACACCCAGGCTGGGCACTGGTCACACAGCAGAGCTGGGCTCTCTCCCAGGCTTGCAGCATCCAGGCACTGTGTACCTGGTGGGAGCCAAGAGAAATAAGTCCCCAGTCGCAAGCCCCACACCCAGTGACAGGAGGGCGTGACAGGGGAGTGAAGGCAGGGGTCTCCAATGGGGGACATTTGAGCCGATGACAGGCGTGGCCCTCACAGAGGTGGCAGACAAGCAGCAAGGCCAGCCCATGCCGGAGGTGGGCAGCTCCCGCAGTGGGTTGGGGGCTCCAGTCACTGATGTCAAAATGCTGAGGTGACTCTGGGGTCTGATCGGGATGGGAACACCCTTGGGTGCTTCTCCGATGTACCATCCTGGCCGGCTGCTGAGGTGTGACAGGGGACGTGGGGCACTCACCTGCAATCTGTTCCTCCGTCAGCTGGTCAGCCTGCAAGGACAGGAAGGAGAGTCAGCAAGCTAGCCAGCCCTTGGCTGCACGCGGGCAGGGGGGTCAGGGCCGGGAGGGGACGAGGCCTGGGCATGCTGGCTCCTATGGTGGTGGGCAGCCAACCCTGCCTGCCCTGGGCCCGACTGAGCAGTCCGAGGCCAGCACAATGTGGGCTGGCCCTGGCCTGGGAGCCCCAAAGGCCTAATCATGCAGTTCTAGAAGGTTCCAGATGGTGCCAGTCAGTCCTTGGGCAGAGCAGAGGGAAGTTCTCTGGGGCCTTCTTGGCTAGTTCCCGTGTCACCCATTTGGAGGTGCCAGGCCCAGGTGGACCCAAGTGGCCAGCACTCTGCTAGCTGGTGGCTCTGGGCACCGCTCTGCGCAGGAGGGACACATGCCAGGGAGGGGACTGCACCAGGCAGTGCTGGCTGTGACAGAGCCACAAGAGCCTGTGTCTGTCTCGGCAGCGCTGCAGTCTTTAACCCTTTGTAGCCTTAGCGGCGGGCCAGAGAGATGGGGTGGCTGGCCGTCCTTGCTGCATGTGGCCTGGGGGCGGGGCACGGAAGCCGCGGGACTGGCCCTTCCTGACCGAGTCCTGGGGACGGGCCAGCCTAGTGGGGGAGGAGCCAGTAGGGGCCTACGCCCAGCACTTCAGGCCTCCAAAGAGCAGATTTCCCTGGCTTTTACAGGTGCTACCCAGAAGGTACCCCAACCCTGTACCACAGGTTGGAGGGTCCAGATAACTGTCTCTACCCCTTTGCAAGGAGAGGGAGAGACCCCAAGGGTCCAGCAGTGCCAGCCTTGGGCCTGCCAGACCTCGGATCTGCAGTCTTGGACATAGAGGTTCCATCCCAGGAGCAGGGACAGTGCCCTGCCCTGGGAGGAGGAGGGTGGGAAGGAAAAACCCACCCCGAGGTGCTGACACCTGAAGAAGCCACCTGGGAAAGTGGGAAGCCGGGAGGGGCTTCTGATTGCCAAGGCTGGTGGGGAGGGGGGGAAAGAGGAGCGGACACGTGCCCTCCCCCTCCCCCGACTGCTCTTCTTCCTGCTCCCCTGGGCAGAGGGAGCTGGTCACTGCACAGCCCAGCAGGTGCCAGCCATCCCCACCCAAAGCCTCAGGGGAGGGCAGGTCAGCTCCAGGTGCCGGACCCCTGAGCAGCACTCCCCAACGGGGGCCAGGCCCCCCGTCCATCCCTTTCCAGAACCGAAGATGGCACGCCTCCACCCAAACCTGTCTCCAAAATAGCCTGCTCCCTGGCCCTCATCTTAGGTTCCAGCAAGAGGCTGGATGTGGGGTGGGGGAGGGACCGGGCTGTCCGTTCTCAGCCTTGCCGCAGCCCCCGGGCGGTGCCAGCCTGCAGTGTCAGCTGAGATCGGAAATGGGGCCAGGGCCCCGAGCCCCATCCCACCACATCGAGCTGATGACAAAGGGAACGAGTGGCCAGCCAGGGCCACTTCGAGGGTCCTGCAGGCAGCTCGGGGTTCCCTCAGCAGGGTTCTGCTGGGGTGGGGGGTGTCAGGTCAGGCCTGTGTCAGCAAGCCTGAGATCTCAGCCACAGCCCGGCTGGGTCCGGCAGGACGGCTGCGTGCACCTCTGGCCTTGGCCTGCGGGTACTGGGGGAGCCGGGGAGGACCAGCTGCAGCCCTGGCTGTGTGAATGGATGGAGGCACTGGGTGGGTGAGCTAGCGAGGGGGTCCCATGGGGTGAGGCCTCTGCTGGGAACAGGCGTGTGATTGCTGGCGATGCCACATGCCGCACCGTCACCAGTGAGGAGCCACCGCCCCCAGGGCCCCCACTGAGCAACACGCGCGTTTGATCCACCTCAAACTTTGATCCCCACCGCCCAGGCACCCTCAGCGCAGCTCTGCCGCCTGCCCCCACTCCTTGGGGCCGCCCACCCCTCAGCACCGCCCCACTTTGGTCTTTGTCCCCCCCATGTCTTCCCCACGCTCGGCAGGGTGGGTCCCACACCCACTCCACACCTAGACCCACCCAGACCCACCCCTGCCATTCATTTGCTTCTCAGCATCTCCTGGTCTCCCAAAGTCCTCCCCACTTCTCACCTTTCCAGGGGTCCCGCCGCCCTGCCCCCAACCCGGAAAAAACAACCAACCAACCCCACTCTCCTAACGCCTCAGGCCCCTGAATCCCTCCCCACCTCCCCCATCCTCCCCCATCCCAAGGGCTCCTGGAGCATCTTGCAACCTGCTTTGCTGCCCACCCCAAGTCTGCATGCACCTCACCGCCTCCCCTTCCTCCTGGTGGAGCACTAAGGTCCTGCGGGGACCCCCCAGCCCCCATTGCGCCCCTCAGTCCTGGGGTCCAAGCTGCACCAGTGCGCCCCTGCGCGCCTCTCGGCACCCCACCTCCTCCAGCCGGGTTTCCACCGCCACCCTTGCGGAAGCAGTTCCCACATCTTCAGAACCAACCCCCCAACAAAAGCCTTCTCGAAGGCCCGGACGGGTCCTTGCCCAGCCCCCTCCCCCAAACCCCTGGGAACCTCAAACATCCCCCACCAGCGCCGTGCGCTCAGGTGCCCGTGTGCCGATCCAAACACCCCGGGGGGTGCCCAAGTCGCCTTGAGAAACCCCCAAACCCCGCTTTGTGCGTGTGTGTGTGTGTGTGGAGGGCAGAGCGGTTCACACGCCCTACTCTGGGTTCCAGCGGAGGGGGCCCCGTCCGGTGGCTTTCCCTCGCGTCCCCGCCACTCACCATGGCGAAGCCCGGGGCGTGCGGAGCGTGGGGATCAGGCTTCCTCCGGTGGCGCTGGTGACGGTGGCGCTGGTGGCGGTGGCGGCGGCAGCAGCTGCAGCAGCTCGAGCTCGGCCGCGCGTCCGCGCCTCCACACTCACACTGCCCGCAGCGCGCGCCGCCGCCGCCGACGCCGCCGCCGCCCCAACGGTCCCTCAACGGCCGCCGCGCGCGCCCCGCCCCGCCCCGCACTGCGGCGCCGCCGGATCCCTCCGCGCCCGGCCGCCCGGAGCGGGGGAGGCGGAGGGCGCACCGCGCACGCGCGCGCGCGCACGCCCGGGAACTACTTTCCGTGGCCGCGCGCGCCCCGCCCCCTCGGGCGCATTCCTCGCGCTCCCCCGGCGGAGGGGCACCGGCTCCAGCCGACGCGTGACGCGTCCCTGCTTGTGAGCCGCGCCGCGATTGGATAGGAACGACGGCAGAAATCAGAGCGCGGCGCCCATTGGTCCGGCCTTCCCTGCAATGCGTCAAACTGGGTCGAGCCACCTGCGGAGCGGGTAAGGGGGGAGCGAAGGCTGAACTGGGTGGCTGCGTGGAGCTGTGAGGCGTCACGAGGCGGAAGGAGACACCAGAGGGGAGTTTACCGAAAACATTACATCGTTGCTGGTTGCTCGGGAGCGGTTAAAGGCCTGGCGAAAGACGCGAGGCTTTTTCGGCCTCTCCCTTCTAACGGAGTGGAAGATGGTTCGAGCCAAACAATGCTGGCCTCCGAGGCCCCGCCCCTAGCGGGCCGGAGGGGGCGGGGTCTTGGAGGCCCCGCCCACCGCCCGCCTGGCCAGGGGCGCCACCTGCCGGCAAGTGTGAGGAGCTCAGGTCACCTCAGTCTGGAATTGCTTTTGTCACTTGCAACCGAGGGATTCCAGAGGGGCCAGGGGTCCTTAGCATCGGCCCGGGGACACAGAGGAGCAGGACTTCCAGCCCAAGCTCCTGCCCGCATTCTCAGTTGCTGTCAGGCACACCTGAAGTTGTGCGTTGGAGCCCGGTGCTGCTGCCTGCACCGGGCCTGCATTGACTCATGGAAGGCGCACCTCCTCCCTGGGGACGTCTTGCCTCCGTTTTTTTCCATGACATGAGGTTCTCTTCTTGCCACTGGGATTAGCTGAGCCCGAGAGAGAGGAAAGTGTGAGCAGAGAACTGAAGCAGCTGGCCCCTGGCTGGCTTACACATGCGGAGACCGAGGCAGAATCGGATCCCCAGGAATCTCACCGCAACCCCAACACCTTGTACATTACATCACGCTCTGGGGCTTTAGAAGAAATCAGGGGGGCTGGCACCATGGCTCAACTGGCTAATTCTCCACCCGCAAGCGATGACATCCCATGGGGTGCTGGTTTGTAGCCCGGCTGCTCTACTTCCCTTCCAGCTCCCTGCTTGTGGCCTGGGAAAGCAGTCGAGGACAGCCCAAAGCCTTGGGACCCTGCACCCATGTGGGAGACCCTGAAGAGGCTCCTGGCTCCTGGTTTGGGATCAGCTCAGCATCGGCCATTGCAGCCGCTTGGGGAGTGAACCAACAGATGAAAGATCTTTCTGTCTTTCCTTCTTTCTCTAACTCTGACTTTCCAATAAAAGTAAATAAACTTTAAAAAAAGAATGTATTAGGATGATTTCTGGAGGGCGGAGGTTGCATTTCTTTTCCAATATCCATGTTCCCCATATTTTTAAAAAGATTTATTTATTTTTATTACAAAGTCAGATATACAGAGAGGAAAATCTTCTGATTCACTCCCCACGTGGTCACAATGACCGGAACTGAGCTGATCTGAAGCCAGGAGCCAGGAACCTCCTCTAGGTCTCCCACACGGGTGCAGGGTCCCAAGGCTTTGGGCACGTCATCAACTGCTTTCTCAGGCCACAAACAGGGAGCTGGATGGGAAGTGGAGCTGCCAGGAAATGAACCGGCGCCCATATGGGATCAGGGGTGAGGGCGAGGACTTTAGCCATTGGGAGGTGTTTTTAATGAGCGGGATTTCTCGTCGCGGGTCTGGTATCTGGGACTGGGATGATTCCTTGGGGCACAGCCCGCCTTCAGCCTCCCTGCTGTCTGATGTTTGCTTGAAAGGGAAATAAACGCAGGACTCCCTGGTTTGGGTGGAAAGGAACTCCAGACCGATCTAGGGAGGAGCCCATGGCTCAGGCATTACCCAATCAACAGAGCCTTCCTTCCTTCTTGGCCTGTGATTGGCTCAGAGCTGACCATGTGACCCCCTTTTTTGTAGGGCGGGGGAGGCAAGCTTGGCATCAGGCACAGGAAATGCAATGGCGCCATTTTGATATTCAGGCTTCTGGATTTTGACAATTGCGTTCACCCAGGAACCCACTGTGGAGGCCAGCTGGACCCTGTCCAGCCCCTTGACCCCTTTGCAGTCAACTTGGGCCCCTTTCAAAGCAGTCATGGTCCTGGCTTCTGTCATGATCGCTTGTCATGCTCTAGAAGCTTGTAGAAACGGAATCATAGAACACGGCATTCATTTGGGCTTAGCTTCTTTGCCTCACTGTAATATTTTTGAACGAAAGAAAATGCGTAGGAAATACTTGTACTGAAACCTTTTTTTGGTTATTTATCTGAAATTCAAATGCAACAGTGTGTGGTGTTTTCTGCTCGCTGGCCCTGGGGAGCCCTGGCCCCGACGCCCGCCTCTCCGGAACTGTGAAATGATGTCACTGAACTGCCAGGGGCCTGCCGGCTCACACGCAGGCTGGAGTGCCAGTAGCAGCTCCAGCTTTTGCTTTTTTTCTTTAAAATTTATTTATTTTTTTAAGATTTATTTATTCTTATTACAAAATCAGATATACAGAGAGGAGGAGAGACTGAGAGGAAGATCTTCCGTCTGATGATTCACTCCCCAACTGAGCGCAACAGCCGGTGCTGTACTGATCCGAAGCCAGGAACCAGGAACTTCTTCTAGGTTTCCCACGAGGGTGCAGGGTCCAAAGGCTTTGGGTCGTCCTCGACTGCTTTCCCAGGCCACAAGCAGGGAGCCGGATGGGAAGTGGAGCTGCCGGGACTAGAACCGGTGCCCATATGGGATCCCGGGGGTGCATTCAAGGCAAGGACTTTAGCCGCTAGGCCACGCTGCCGGGCCCATAATATTTATTTATTTTGAAACAGAGAATTACAGAGAGGGGGAGACACAGGTTTTTTTTTCTTTCTTTTATTTTTTTTTTAATCTGGTGGTTGGCCATAGTGCCTGGAGTTGGCTGGGTGGAAGACAGGAACTTCTGGGTTTCCCACGCAAGTACAAGGTCCCAGGCACTTGAACCATATTTCACTGATTTTCGTGTGTGTGTGTGTGTGTGTGTGTGTGTGTGTGTGTGTGAATCTATCTATGTATATCTATATATATATAAGGCAGATTTACAGAGAGAAAGAAAGGAAGATTTTCTGCCTGCTGGTTAGTGGCCGCAACGCTGGAGCTGAGCTGATCCAAAGCCAGGAGCCAGGAGCCTTGGACGCAGTGCAGGTTCCCATGGCTTTGGGCCGTCCCGACTGCTTCCGGCCCTCTCTTTTTTTTTCTTGGTGATTTCTTCGTCTGGCTTTGGTATTGGGAATAATTGGTAGAATGAGTTGGGATGTATTCTGTGTTTTGAAATTGTTTCTTTAGGGCCTGCTGTGATGGCTCAGTGGCTGAATCCTCACCTTGCTATGCCGGGGTCCCATATAGGCGCTGGTTCGTGTCCTGGCTGCTCCACTTCCCACTTAGGTCGCTGATTGTGGCCTGGGAAGGCAGTCAAGGATGGCCCAAAGCCTTGGGACCCAAGTGGGAGACCCAGAAGAAGCTCCTGGCTCCTGGCTTAGGATCGGCACAGCTCCGGCTGTTGTGGCTGCTTGGGGAGTGAACCAGTCGACAGATTTTTCTGTATTTCCTTCTCTCTGTAAATCTGTCGTTCTAATAAAAAAAAATAAATCGTTTAAAAAGTTAGTTTAAAAAAAGAAAATATGTGTGAAGGATTCTTGTTCATTTTAGAAATGTTTGGTAAAAGGCCCAGTGTGGTAGCCTAGTGGCTAAAGTCCAAACCTTGTACCTTCCCATATGGGTGCTGGTTCGTATCTAAATCTTGAAAGGAAAAAAAAAAAAGTTTGGTGAAATTTTTTATAGCTTTATGTATTTTTATTGCAAACTCAGATATACAGAGAGGAGGAGAGACAGAGAGGAAGATCTTCCATCCGATGGTTCACTCCCAAGCAGCCGCAATGGCCTGATGCTGCACCAATCCAAAGCCAGGAGCCAGGAACTCTTCCGGGTCTCCCACACGGGTGCAGGGTCCCAAGGCTTTGGGCTGTCCTCAGCTGCTTTCCCAGGCCACAAACAGAGAGCTGGATGGGAAGCGGGGCTACCGGGATTAGAACTGGAGCCCATATGGCATGCTGGTGCATGCAAGGCAGACTCCAGCCACTAAGCTATGGCACTGGGCCCAAATACACTATCTTTTGAGTGAATCTGGCACTTTCAGCTGTTTCGGGCTTGGAGGAGGAGTGACCCGGCCTGCTGGACCTTCTCCACACTGCCGATCTATGAGCTAAAATAAAGAACTGTTGCCCTCTGTTTGATGCCAGCATCCTCTCATATGAGCACTGGTTCAAGTCCTGGCTGCTCCACTTACGATCCAGCTGCTTGCTAATGTGCCTGGGACAGCAGCAGAGGACGACCTAAGACCTTGGACCCCTGCACCCACCCACGTGGGAGACTCACACCCTCTCCGGGGGACCCCAGTCATGCCTCTGCCTTTCCCCCCTGCAAGCCTGACAAGGCAGGGAGCGGGGAGGGGGCGCGCCCCCAGGGTCAGCCCTGCTGGTGCGCTCTGGTCCCCTCCACCAGCGAGCGCGGTGCCCTGGATCCCACGCAGGAGGCTCTTGCGGCATCTCTGTGTCACAGCTGAGTCGCAGGCTCCCACTGCCACCATCTTGGAGCCCTCTAGCCTCTTTGGAGTCAGCGAGAGGATGGGGATCGCCATGGCAACGGTGGAGCCAACTAGAGGCTCCGCCTTCCTTGGGCAGCGCCTTGCAAAGGTGCGGAGGGAGATGGCTTTTGTTCCTTCTCTGGGATGGTCCTGAGCCAGCCTGGGGTCTGGAAGGGCACTGCTTCCAGAACGTTCAGTGGGGTTACCTCATTTTAAATCTTT